GTCCTGCAGGAATCAGGTCGGGATCAGGGCATGGACGTCACTGTGGTTTAATGCGTCATTACCAAGGGCCAGGCATGTGCTAAGCCCGTTGCGTGAGTGTTTTACTTGGTTGGACTGACGTTCTGGTTAAGAGGCATACTCCCATCCGAGGGGACGAGTGCCTGGCTGGCATAAGGCAGGGCTGCTAGGCTGCCTCCCAAACTCTGGCCACCCACCAACCCTCTCCATGGCCAGGGGGTAGGGAACCCTTACCTCAGACAGTGCCTCTGAAGCAGTCTCGGGGTTCCGGAGGCTGTCCCTTGGTGTGGGGGTGCTGCCACTGTCCCCCCTCTGCCCCACACTCAGCGCCTGCTCCCACTTCTGCAGAGCCTCCTCGAACAGCTCCATGCCTGAGCATGGGTGGGAGAGAAGGGAGTCAGGTCCCCAGCGGAGGGAGAGCAGCTGGGTCCCACACAGTGTCCCTCAAGAAGAGGCTCAGAAGAGCAAGGAGGCAAGAAGGCCCTGAAGGACAAGGACGGGCAGGACCGGGGGGGCTGGGTCCTGATCACTTTTTCCAGGATTGTCAGTTTACAGGCCTTCACTCAGACCGGAATGGTTCCCACAGATGATCCCCTGTCCAGAAATGGCTGGGAACCACTGAATGAGGGTTTGGGGTGGGGCAGAAGGAGGGGGTTGCAAAGTAGCACCTGGAAGAGTGCTCTGGTCCCAGCCTGGGCTCTCAGAGGGCCATTCCCTGTCGCCCCCGCCCTGCCCCAAGAGAGCCTGAGGTGGCCGCTGGGTGTACCTTGCACATAGAGGCTCTCGGCGTTGCCATCACTGGTGGTCACAGACTCCTCCATCCCTCTGGTGTCCCATGGTCCCGAGCACGCAGCCATGGGGCTGGATGAGTTCACCGCCACCATCTGGGTGCCAAGCAGCACAAAGACCCGAGGGCACGGGGTGAAGCTTTCCCAGACCCCCTGCTGCACCCGAGCCTCCCCTGCTGTCTGAACACATGCCACGCTCCCTCTCCAGACACCACCCCTGAGGCCAGCCTGACTGCAGCGGCCAAGCCCTCAGCACAGCCGGGTCCACCGACTCCGAGAGCCTAACAACACCTCACAGAAACTGCCCAGGTGGGAGGAAATACCGAGGCCAAGGCCCAGCCCGGGATCCTGCAGCCTGCTACGGAGCCCACCCTGGCCCCTTCCTCACAGATCACTCCGGAGTGTCTCTCCCAGTCACCTGAAAGGAAGGCTGAAGGAGTGCCTGGTACATATGGGCCAGCCAGGCCCATTGTCGCCCACATGAGTGGCCACCTGCCCTGCCAGGCTGTTGGCTCCTCCAGGATAAGAGCCATCTCTTGCTCACCCCTGGGTCCCCAGGGCAGGCCTGGCTCAGAGCTGGGGCTTGGCATTGGCTGAATGAATTAGTAACTGGATGAGTCAATGAGCCAAAAGCCATTTCCCAAGAGAAAATAAACTCCCCTTTGTCCTACTTAGCTCTGTATCCTCAGCAGAGTCCCTGCCACAAAGGAGCTACTTGCCCAAAGTCTGATGAATGAATGAATGAATGAATGAACTTGCACAGATAAGTATCTCCCCCAAGAGGCCACAAGTTGCTCTTCTGCACCTGTCTGCCTTTCTCTCACCGATGCCTGGCACCCAGTGAGTGATGAATGACTCCTCTGAAAGCGCATGGATGGATGATGAGTGAATGAATGAAAGACTGAATGAAATCTCTACTCCTATCATCCTCCCAATAACTAAGCCCGCTGAGGGCAGAGACAAGACCCAGCTTGGTGGCCAGGAACTGAGCCCTCAGGCCATGACAGGCTCCCTGACACCCCCCCCTCCTGCCCTGTCCTCACCGAGGCCAAGCTGTGGGAGGAGCCCGAGTGCTTGCTGGGCTCGATGGAGGAGATGCCGCTGAGGGTGTCGTTGCTCTTGCTACTAGGGCTCTGTACCCTCCGGCTGGAGTAGCCTGTGGGACCAGAAGGACGGGTCACGCAGCTTTCCCACCAGCCTCTGTTCCTCTCTGAGCGCCCTCCCCCCGCCCACATCTGGAGCCTGTCCTGACCTCCTAAGTCGTCAGGGCGACGGCAGAGCACCCTGAGCGCACATCCTCAGCGGGACAGTGCTGGGCCCCACCCGTCGTCCTGCTCACTACCATACCCCTGTCGCCAGCACGGGGCCTGGCCCGAGTGAGGGGCCCAGATCTGCCGCGACAAGGCTGAGCGTGGGAGCCGGCTACTTTTCTGCCTCCTTCTTCCTCTCCTTCCCCTGTGCTGCTACTTGAGTGATGGATTTGCAATTCTCCTTCCGAAAAAGGATTCGAGGCAACAACTTCTAAAAATATACCGAAGATTTTTTTTTAAGTGAGAAGAGTAGGGAAGGGAAAGTCAGGTGAAACCAGAGCGGGCGGTGGTATAGGGCAGGCAGGAGGTCGGTGCCGAAGTGGTTCCAGGTTTCCCAGGGACCAATGCGAAGCGGAAAGCCAGCTAATCGGCATTGCTCAGGTCCTGTTCTAGTCTAAAAATGTTTTTGCAACTGTAAAGATAAAACCCCCCTTTGCGATGATAATCCGCCATGAAAATTTGTTTTGGCTAAGCCAGTCAGAAAAAGTTGAAAACCACACGATATCACTTATATGTGGGATATAAAACTAAAAGCAACAAATCGGACAAACAGAGGCCCGTGGACATGGACGACAGTGGTTACCAGAGGTGGGGAAGGGGGAGGTCTATGGGGTCAAAGAGGTCAAATTTGTGGTGACAGGAAGAAATCTAACTATGGGTGGTGAACAATGCAATATATATAGATATATGCCTTACTGCTAAATTGTACACTTGAAACTTACTGGATTTCGTTAACTAAGGTCACCATAATAAAAAAATAAACAAATAAAGTGGGAGGAAAAAAAAATGAAAGAAAATTTATTTTTGCACAAGGAGACTTCAGGTAACCGAAACAGGTTGCTCCCCAGATGGGAGCCTAGGAGAACTCCTTGCCTGGAAAAGAGATCTAAACCGCATTCAGGCCGGCAAACGCCGGGTTGCTGGGTTACAAGATTAACGGAGGCCATAGAGATTTTAAACGCCACACCAGCAGACACAAAAACAGCTCAGCGGCTGCCAGGGGCTGGGGTTGGGAGAGAGGGGCTGACTACAAAGGTACCAGGGGGATTTAGAGAAGAAGAGAACAGTTCTTGTTTATGGTGCTGATTATATGACTGTACGTGTTTGTCAGAACTCATAGAATTGTATGCTAAAAAGGTGACTTTTGCTGTACATAAAGTAATATTTAATTTTTAAAAAAAGAAGGGGATGAGGGAGTAACACATGGCTCAAGAACCATACGGGGCCTTCTTGCTCCTAAGCGGGAGGACTTCCCTCCCACCAGCCCCCTCTGGACCCAGATACTCCCAAAGGGTCCTCACATAATGAGAACAAATGCCACCTACTGGACACATGTGTCCAGCCACATCACTCACCAAATCTTTACAAGGACTCAGGGAAGGAAGTTCTACTCTCAACCTGGGGACGGAATGTCACACTAGCCCGAAATCCCACAGCTAATAGGGGCCCAGCTGGGACCTGACACCAGGTCAGGCCCTTCCTCACCGCCTCACACCTACCTTTCTTCATCGACGGGACCTTCCTGGCCATGAGGATGGGGAGGGGCACTGTGCCCAGATGCTCGCCTCCCATCTCGGGGCCGACCTGCTTCTTCCTCCGCCGTCGCCTCTTCAGCTGGTGGGCGGCCAGGGCCAAGGCCACAGTCCCCAGGGCCGTGGCGAAGAGGACCTTCCGTAGGCCTGGTGTCAACCGCAGCTGGGAGAATGCAGACTGTAGGCAAAGAGAGAGGCAGCCAGTTATGTCTCCCCAAGAGAGCCCTGAGGCAGGCGGAGCTGCCCGGGGGGAGCACTAGGAAAAGGGGACACATCAGACAAAGGGGACATGGCCAGCCCCTCTGAAATGTGGAGCCCAGAGATGTAAAGGGACTGGGGACGGCAAAATGGCAAAGCCAAGGAGATTGCGGCTGCAGTCCAGCAGGTGTCCCTAACACTGTCGGTCATGATTCTAACGGCTGCAGTGACTGAGTGCCTCTATGCCAGGCGCTGCACTAGGACTTGACCTGCATTACCTGTCTGAATGCCTGTCCTTTCTCAGGTGAGGAATCTGAGGCTCACACTGGTTAAGACACATGCTCAGGGTGACAGAGAGACAGAAATCAAACCCAGGTCTGCCAGCTCCACTTCTTAGTAACTCCTCGAAGATGATGACATTCACTCCACCGACTGTCCCATCCGTACATGTCCCTGCTCCACCCTCACCCTCCACCTGCTGGACTGGGAGCCCCGTGATGGGGCTGCATCCCCCATGGCAGAGCTTTGGGAAGTGTCAAGAGGCCCGGCTGGCACAGACACGTGCAGTGAGCAGGTGAAGACCAGGCTTGAGGCCCCAGACTTCTAACCCAGTCCCCTTCTTACTCTGCTCAAAGAGGAGACACCAGATGCCCGGGGCAGCAGCAATGAGAGCTCAGGTTTCTCCATGCCAAGTGGCCAAGTGTTTCAGGGATCAGAGTGGTTAAAGGGCAGGACCATGATGCACCCAATCTTTACCTGGCCAAACGTTGTGTACAGGAACACAGGGATCTCGGCCACTGTCATGGCCAGGGCCTGGATCATGGACATGCCCTCAGTCCTCCGGAAGGCCATGGCAGGACCAGCACACCAGGCAAGAGCCCTCGGGGCCAAGTGCTTCCAAGGAGAACGTCTTCAACTGGTTGCTAGCTGGGTCCCGGGCACCGTCCACGCCCCAGAAAGACAGGGATGCACATACCAGAGGGTCCCTCCACAGAGCTGAGAGACAGATGACCAAGTCAGACAAAAGGATGTGTGAACATGAGTGCAGAGAAATGCACAAGAGTGCCCCGGGGGATGAGGCAGGAGCAAAGCCTACATCGGGAATGCCAGGTCTGGAACCCGGCCACGGCCTTCTGCGCTCAGCAGCAGGAAGGCAGCCAAATGCCCCACAGACTCTCTGCCCACCATAAGCCCTGAGAACAGAAGGCAGCGTCTATGGCACAGTGATCCAAGAGCGAACCCAGGGCCTGGGAGAGACGGATAGGTCACTCTCAAACTTCATGGCTCGTTTGCTAAACAAAAATCTCAGGCCTCTAAAGGGTCAGGCCTCTGAGAGATTGCGGCTGCAGTCCAGCAGGTGTCCCTAACACTGTCGGTCATGATTCTAACGGCTGCAGTGACTGAGTGCCTCTATGCCAGGCGCTGCACTAGGACTTGACCTGCATTACCTGTCTGAATGCCTGTCCTTTCTCAGGTGAGGAATCTGAGGCTCACACTGGTTAAGACACATGCTCAGGGTGACAGAGAGACAGAAATCAAACCCAGGTCTGCCAGCTCCACTTCTTAGTAACTCCTCGAAGATGATGACATTCACTCCACCGACTGTCCCATCCGTACATGTCCCTGCTCCACCCTCACCCTCCACCTGCTGGACTGGGAGCCCCGTGATGGGGCTGCATCCCCCATGGCAGAGCTTTGGGAAGTGTCAAGAGGCCCGGCTGGCACAGACACGTGCAGTGAGCAGGTGAAGACCAGGCTTGAGGCCCCAGACTTCTAACCCAGTCCCCTTCTTACTCTGCTCAAAGAGGAGACACCAGATGCCCGGGGCAGCAGCAATGAGAGCTCAGGTTTCTCCATGCCAAGTGGCCAAGTGTTTCAGGGATCAGAGTGGTTAAAGGGCAGGACCATGATGCACCCAATCTTTACCTGGCCAAACGTTGTGTACAGGAACACAGGGATCTCGGCCACTGTCATGGCCAGGGCCTGGATCATGGACATGCCCTCAGTCCTCCGGAAGGCCATGGCAGGACCAGCACACCAGGCAAGAGCCCTCGGGGCCAAGTGCTTCCAAGGAGAACGTCTTCAACTGGTTGCTAGCTGGGTCCCGGGCACCGTCCACGCCCCAGAAAGACAGGGATGCACATACCAGAGGGTCCCTCCACAGAGCTGAGAGACAGATGACCAAGTCAGACAAAAGGATGTGTGAACATGAGTGCAGAGAAATGCACAAGAGTGCCCCGGGGGATGAGGCAGGAGCAAAGCCTACATCGGGAATGCCAGGTCTGGAACCCGGCCACGGCCTTCTGCGCTCAGCAGCAGGAAGGCAGCCAAATGCCCCACAGACTCTCTGCCCACCATAAGCCCTGAGAACAGAAGGCAGCGTCTATGGCACAGTGATCCAAGAGCGAACCCAGGGCCTGGGAGAGACGGATAGGTCACTCTCAAACTTCATGGCTCGTTTGCTAAACAAAAATCTCAGGCCTCTAAAGGGTCAGGCCTCTGACTGAGAATCATTACATCTTTCACCTCCCACAAAGCCAAGAATGTTTTACTTCCTGTGGACTGTGTTATAAAAATAACTGGATATTTCCTTAAATAATAGCCACTACCCGTTTGTGTATATTTTGTGCTGAGTTCTTCACATGTTATTTCACTGAATGATGACAATTCTACGAAGTAGTTCTCTATCTCCCCCGCCCCCACCCCTGCCAATTTCCAAGAGGAAACTGAGGCTCAGAGAGCTGTTAGAAGTCCAAAGTTACACAGCTGGTATGAGGCAGAGTCAGCACTTGGACCAAGACTGTGTTCAATACAACCCTTTTGCCAAATTTGACATGGAGCAGGAAGTGGCAAATGCCAGAAGAACCACAGACTACAAAGGCAACTTTCCCGTGGGGCCTTCTGAGACCCCCAGGGGAACCCACTGCCCATTCCAAAGCCAACAAATAAGTGGCTTAACCACAGATAGCCCAGTCCCAAAGATCCCACAGGGTGCTCCCCAACCGCCATCACCAAGGCCAAGGATGCCTTCAAGGTCTTCTGGGACTTCAAGCAGAAGGAACATGCAGGCCAGGACAGACCCTGTCTACCTGGGATGGCGGCCAAAGTCACTGAACCAACACAAGAAACAGCATATCCCCAGCAAGTGAGAAGGAAGACTGATTCTATCAGCTTAGCTCTAGGGCTGGGCTGTGGTGTGTGTGAGGTGGGCTGAGGAAAGTGTCACATTGTCAGGGGTAGGAGACATTCTGCCAGGAGGCTGCACATGGAGCTATGTGAATGCCAGTGGTCAAGGCCAGGGTTAATATCATAAGCCATCCCTCTCACTTCGTCCAGCAGCTACTTCCTGAGCACTTACTACAGGCCAGGCTTGGGACAGGCTCTCCACAGAGGGCTTTGAGTCTAGTCACTCAGAGCACCCCCAGGACGACCACTGTATATGATGGGGAAACCAAGACTCTGAGAAGTAAGTGACCTGACCAAGGTCACTGAGTAAATGGCCAAGGTGGGATGTGACCTCAGCTCTGGGGGATCTCAAGGCTATGGGGTCTCCCCTGAGCTGCCTGCTACAACTGCCACCTCTCCCTCCATGACACATCTGAAGGACTTCTGGGTCTCCAAGTGAAAAGCCCACATAGAATTATAAAGATGAACCCGAACACATGCTCCAGGAGTGAGACAGGGCTGAGAGACCTGGCATTTGTCTGCAGAAAAGTCAAGAGCCGTCTCTGCTGCCCCAACCAAGAGGAAGAGCAGCAGACAAGGTGACTAACAACCGTCCCTCAAGCCTGCTTCACTCCAGATATGGATCCAGATCCAGCCCGACCACATACTATCCATCCCCCGGCACCACCTGGGAAGAAGCCTCCACCTATTCTCCATGATGACAAGCCCACGGCAGTGTCCCCACTCGGTGGACACTTCTAATGCCATCCCCACTTGGGCTGTCACCTCTCTTGTCCTACAACCTTGGGTGAGAACCTATTCATTCCACCTCCACCATAGCACTTAAAACGCCCTCAGCCAGGATGCCCACACTTGCCACCTGGGCACCTCCTTTCTTGCCCTGGACGATCCCATTAATGACTTTGGCGTTAGCAATCTCCCTTTCCGCCTTGACCTCAGCAATGACCCCGGCTCGGGCACACCCTGGGGCCACCCTCCGCCCAGTTTCAGTTCACCCCACTCTGGCACCTCACCAGTCTGACCGGGCGGGCACCGGGCACTACCGCACTGGACCTCAGCAATACCCCGGCTTGGAATGTGCTCATTCCATCCCGGACATTTCCCTGAGCAGCCCGAGCCAGGCCCTCTCTCCTCTTGCTCTGACCCCGAGAATATCCTCGAGGGTCGTCCAGGTGCCCAGTGGCGCCGCCCACGGCTGGCGCACCTACTCCTTTCATCCCGGGTACTTTCCCAGCCCGGGTCAGCATCCCTGCTCGGATCCCCACAACGTTCCAGGCCCAGGCATCTCCTCACTGACCGGGTACCTTTCGTTCCACCTCTCGCGCCGCCCACGGCCAGGTACCTGCTCATTCCAAGCCGGGCCCTTCTAGTCCAGCTGAGCCCGGACACCTGCGCCCCTACCCAGTGCCCCGCGCAGGCCCGGCGCCCTCCCGCTGCAAGCCTCAGTTCCAGGCCCTGCCGCGCCGCCCGACCGCCCGGCGGGCTCGGCCCCGGCAGCTACTCACCCGGGATCCCATCGCCGCGGAAGGGCAGCGTCTCCTTCCCCGGCGTCCGCGCAACCAACCTCTAGGCAGGGGAGGCAGGGAGGGGGGAGGCGTGGCCTCACGCAGCGCCAACCCCTCTCCTAGCTAATGAGCGTTGCTGAATCGTTGCGCGCCGCTCTGACCTCCCGTAAATGAGGTGTGTCACGTGACCAATTTAGTCTCCCTCGGTCCCTCTGACCCGCCCCCTAAGTGCGGTTGAGGCGCGGAAGTGATCTTTTCTTCTTTCCTATGATTGGCCAGAGGGATTAGATTGACACGGGAGGCTGATTGAGCGGGGCGGGGCCGCTCTTACAGAGGCTGGGGAGGAGCCATCAAGTTTTGAACCGGCTTTGTTAAAGCTGCGGCTATGTGATCCCACGTGTTTGGCTCCCCCTACCGATGCCGTTTCCCACACGGACAAGTCCTTCCCGCCCTTCAAGCACCCACGTTTAAATGCCGCGGCTTCTAACTCCCACAGCACCCTCTTAAACACTTGCCACGTTCCAACTTCTGGAGTTGTTTGCAAAAGCGCCGCACCTCCTCTACCAGACAATGTCTCCCTGATAGTTAGAGTCAAGTGATGAAATTCTGACCAACTTGCCTTGCACTAAACACTGGGTTTGGAATCAGGCCGACCTGAGTTGGCATCACGTTCTGCCACTTCAGGTCTCTGTTAACTCAATTTACCCCTCTGTAAAAACGAGATTAGAATTCCTGCCTTGCCAGAGTCACAGGGCTTTGGTGGGGCTTGGGAAGATGCAGTGTGGCAGCCCTTTTATAACTGCGAAGAGCTGGGCACATCTAAGTTTTTAAAATATACGTGTCAGTAAGGTCACATTCTTTCATTCATGCGACAACTAATATTTCTGTGTGCCAGCCTTTTGGCCGGACATGGAGCGTAGTGGTGGACAAGATACGTGTAATTAAGATATTTAAATACAATCTGGTGTGATATTGCTCTGCTGGAGGAAACTCAGGAATGTGGGAATCCCGAGAGGACACTTGGGCTCACATGGGGAGGTGAGAGACTCCCCAAAGAAAGCGACATCCAAACGAAGACCTGAAGAATGAGCAGAAATTAACTGGACAGAGAGGAAAGGAGAGGAAGGAGTTGCAGGAGCACCATGGGCTGTGACCTAGAGGCAAGAAAGAACCTGGCAGCTTTGACTCAAGGTGGCAGAGAGAGGAGAGAGTGGCAGCCAGTGAGCCAAGGAAGAAGGATCCAGAGCGAAGGAGAGCAGCCTCCACCACTGGACTGCCTGGGTTCTGGGCTAAATCCTCCACTTCCTCCTCTGTGACCTTTAATGTCTCTAAATCTCAGCTTCCTTGCCCCTAAAATGAGGAGGATGATTGTTTCTGAGCTGTTATGACGATCTTAGTTGATTATTCACTTAAAAGTTCTCAGTGCTGGGCCTGGTATGGGCTTAGGACATTTTGGCCATTGCTATTAGAAAAATCTGTCAAGTGTAAAGCTGATAAATAAGTGAAATATTTAGACTGGGACAGCTATAAGATCAGCAATAACTAGTACCCTCTCTCTTGCTCTCTCTCTCCCTTACTCTGCTCGGTTTCTCTTCCCAGGACTTGTTACCTGACATGTTATATATATTTGCCCAAGAGGAGAGAGGCCTTGTTTCATTCACTGCTGCATGCCTTGTGCCTAGAACAGTGCTTGGCACATAATAGGTGCTGACAAAGACTTTTCCTTGACCAAACTTGGGTCAGTTCCTCTGGGCCCACTGCTCAACTAACTAGACGTGATCTTGGGCTTCCATCTCCATCCTTATAGAGTCCAGTTTTAGCAAGAATCCTGCTGAGTCAGTTTAGCAAAAATCCCTTACTGTTGGTATCTGATCATCCTCGGACATACTCCATAGATTATCATTCCAGCCTGCCTTCAGCAAGAATCCTGCTAGGCTTGATGTTTCCTCTTAGTCATTTTCCATCCACTGCCCGACCCTGCTCCTTGGCTATAAATCTCCACTGTCCTTATTGTATTTGGGGTTGGACCTGATCTCTCTCCTACTGCAAAACCCCCACTGCACTCGTCTCTCTCGAATAAAGTCTTCTTTATTTCTTATTATTACTTCTTTACCATCTTTAACAAGCATCATGAATACTTTTTTCTTTAACAGTGTTCAATGTGACTCATTAAGTAAGTGAATGTGTAACTATACTGATATAGGCCTGTTGAAAGATAATATGGCTGGATGAAGGCTAAATGAATAATATAGTCAGCTACCTATAGACACTGGTACATGAGTCAATGATCAATACAGACGAATAGAAACACATAGTGAACACATAGAAATACACAAAGAAATACAAAGAAAAGATGAACTGCAGGTTTATGACTGACATGAAATGATAGCTCCATATACATAATAATTCAGACCAGTGATTCTAAACCTGGAGTGCACATTTAAATCACCTGGAGGCTCTTCAAAACACCTGCCTGGGCCCCACCTGCACTGAAAGAACCAGGGCTGGGAGTAGGACCAAAACCCCAGATGACTTGAGGTTCACCTTACACAGACAGGCTAGGGTAGGTGATGGGGAACTGGGGTAAGTGTAGGGAGACAAAGTCAGGTATCTAAGGGACAGAGCCAGGGAGGAGAGGGTACCAGCTCAGGAACAGAGCTCCCCACTAGGTTAAAAGATGAAGCCTAGAGGTTGAGAGCAAGGACAGGTAGAGACAGGTAACCAGCTTCCTTCCAAGCCCCATAGGAGGTGGAGTGTATGTGCATGCCATCCCCTTGCCTGTCTGGAGCTGTGAGAAGCTGGCATCAAGGTCTGTGTTACTAGAGCAAAGGGGTCCGCCTGCCTGCGTGAGTCTAAGTCTAATAGGATACGTACAGGTTTTGCAGCAAAGAAAGTAAAGGTTTATTGTAGAGAGTTGCAAGTCCTGGAGACACAGGTGAGCTACCTATCCCTCAAAGACCTGGCTCCCTCAGGTGTCTCGAGGGGATAGATCCCATAGAGGGAAAATCCTTAGTCATGGAAACTAAGGTAGTTGGGGTAGCGAGTAGGTGCTACTGACTGGACAGGGCTGGGGTAATCATGTCCAGTTCTGGAATCAGCCATGGAGTCATCCCTTTGGACCCATTCCGCCTCATGGATCTGGGCCTGAAAAACACCTGAAGCCAATGCGCAATCCTTAATTTAAGGGAAACTTATTGTTCTCATGATCGATAGATCTGAGGCATTATTCTTAAAAGGTTAAGTAAGGCTTAATGACTAAGGGAACAGGCAAACAAAGGTGGCAGGATAAAGGCGGGAAAAACAAGTGAATCACAATGCTATTATACTAGGCAAAACCTGCTTGAATCAGAGAAAATTCTATCTTAAAGAAATAAAGTACCCGTGTGGTTACATCTGCACATGGCTGTTCTCTGAGGGTAGCAGGGTCCTCCACCTGGGCAGAACCAAAGCCTTCCCTCCTCTGGTCCCTTCCTCCCTGTCACCCCTCTGCACGCCCTCCCTCAACTCTGAGAACTCGCAGGGCTTCCAGGGGGACAAACAGCCATTCCCCAGTGCCCCAGCCTCAGAAGAATGAGAGTCCTTAGCAAGCCTGTCCCCGCTCAGTTGTCCTTAGTGTCACCAAGGTCAGGGGCAGAAGAGTAGTGGTGCCGGAGTGGTCAAGGTGGTGGTGGTGGGTGGTGCAGACAGACACAGGGCCAAAAAGGCCAAGAAGCAGTGAGACAGAGGGCCTAGCCGACCACGGGGGTGTGAAAGGACAAAGAAAGATAAATAGGCACGAACGGGCCAGGGGCCAAGAGGCCAGGCAGGAGGCGGGCGGAGCCTGCAGGGGGCAGCAGCGAGCAGCAGCGAGCCGGCACGCTCAGCTCGGTCGCCCCGC